AAGTTCTGGTTCGTAGTAGTAAGGCCAGGAGCTACTAGTAGCGTTCGTGCTTCTAGTAGCGATGCCCTTTGCTACTAGTAACTTCTTGTTCTTTTTAATTAGGCCAGGAGCTACTAGTAGGGTCCATGCTCCTAGTAGCTTCTTGTTCCTACTAGTAAGGCCAGGAGCTACGACGAGCGTCCATGGTCCTAGTAGCGATGCCCTTTGCTACTAGTAGCTTCGTGTTCCTATTAGTATGGCCAGGAGCTACTAGTAGCGTCCATGCTCCTAGTAGTGGTGCCCTGTGCTACTAGTTACTTCTTGTTCCTAGTAGTAAGGCCAGGAGCTACTAGCACCGTCCATGCTCCTAGTAGCGATGTCCTTTGCTACTAGTAGCTTCTTGTTCCTATTAGTAAGGCCAGGAGCTACTATAGTAGCGTCCATGCTCCTAGTAGCGATGCCCTTTGCTACTAGTAGCTTCTTGTTTCGATTAGTAAGGCCAGGAGCTACTAATAGCGTCCATGCTCCTAGTAGCAATGCCCTTTGCTACTAGTAGCTTCTTGTTCCTAGTAGTACGGCCAGGAGCTACTAGTAGCATCCTTGCTCCTAGTAGCGATGCCCTTTGCTACTAGTAGCTTCTTGTTCCTATTAGTAAGGCCAGGAGCTACTAGTAGCGTCCATGCTCCTAGTAGCAATGCCCTTTGCTACTAGTAGCTTCTTGTTCCTAGTAGTACGGCCAGGAGCTACTAGTAGCATCCTTGCTCCTAGTAGCGATGCCCTTTGCTACTAGTAGCTTCTTGTTCCTATTAGTAGGGCCAAGAGCTACTAGTAGCATCCATGCTCCTAGTAGCAATGCCCTTTGCTACTAGTAGCTTCTTTGTTCCTAGTAGTAAGGCCAGGAGCTACTAGTAGCATCCATGCTCCTAGTAGCGATGCCCTTTGCTACTAGTAGCTTCTTGTTCCTATTAGTAGGGCCAAGAGCTACTAGTAGCATCCATGCTCCTAGTAGCAATGCCCTTTGCTACTAGTAGCTTCTTTGTTCCTAGTAGTAAGGCCGGGAGCTACTAGTAGCGTCCATGCTCCTAGTAGCGATGCCCTGTGCTACTAGTAGCTTCTTGTTCCTATTAGTAGGGCCAAGAGCTACTAGTAGCATCCATGCTCCTAGTAGCAATGCCCTTTGCTAC